AAGTTCTACTGTATATTGTTATGTGAGATTCTTAAAAATAAATATTCATATATATGATTTCATGCGAATGTCTTGGTTACCGTCTTAACTCTCCTCATTTGTATTTATGTTATTACTATTGATTGGGTTTATCTTCACACCGATTATACAAGTGTACCACTATACTCTAATAACGGAACAAATTGTATCAACTGGTACATTATCCTAAAAAACAAAATTGCTTTCTTGAATCTACACCTATTTTTTCAAAGTTCACTACATATGATCGTTTCCAGAGTGACTATGAGAACCAGCACATTAATTTGTTAATAGTCAAGATAAATCCTTATAGGGTTAAATAGTACAAGTGTTAACGTTTTGCTTTAGCTTACGAAGACAACACTTCAAATTATTGTCAGCGGGAAATATGTATCGAAATTGAAAGTTTTTACCAGGCATATGAACATTTAAGAATTTTATCCATATACCTGATTATGTAAGCACAAAGCATGTCTATGGACGATTGAAAGAATGAATAAACCAAAATTAAGTGTTTATGTAGGTATTAGCTAGTACATTACGATTAAGTATAGCTCATATACCGCAGGAATGGATTTTCGTTTTTTTATGACATTATGCTCATAGTAATATATTGTAAGAGATTATAACGGCGAAACAGGAGATACCGTGCTGTGATAGTAAAAATATTTAAACGATCGCTTGCACCAGAATTTTTGTATCAACATACCCTTTTCTCCCTGTTATTCTTGGTGCGTTAAATATTAAATTTTGAATTGCTTTTCAAAAAGCGTGTTTTATGTCGGAGCATCCTTCTTTAAATGTTTGTCCAGTTAAGATGCTAAATACGTCTAGCAATGTGGCGTTTGTCGCTAAATAATTGCTATGACTTTGAATTGTTTATTTAAGAAATTATATATCCAAAACAGTGATTGTATTGCTCAATAACATCACTGTTTGAAGTTCGGATGCGAGGAACTATATCACGAGAGCGTAGCCCGAGTGGTATAATGATGCGCATCCGAACGACAAACAGTGATGTTATCAAGCGATAAAATCAACTATTTGGATATATTATTTCGATTCTAACACGACATTAACACATAAATGATGCCGTACCTGATATTAACCTAAAATGACATTATTTGTTTCCGTACTTATTTTCAGCGCGTCACATTTTAGTGGTTACGTCATGTGTATAATGATTACGTCATATATCTAAATATAGAACGTCAAACTGTGCTTTTATTGCATAATAACACACACTTTCAGTTTTTTTATGTTCAATGGAGAAAAATGCAGGTCGTGTTAGAATTAATGTTTATGGTGTCTCTAACATCAAGTTCATGCCTTGTACAAGTAGTATTTTACATTTATTGCATCAAAGTAATTAATTAATATTTTGAGAATGATTCTTGTTGTTGCCCTTCAACCAATTTATCTGATCAAGTCAGTTGTTTTTGAATATAAAAATTCATGCAGAGTAGATGTGTCTTATCGCCAGATGCAGACGCGATAATTTTTTTTTTGATGATTTACGGGTGTTTTAAATCGATAAAATATCTCCCAAACGACCGTTGAGCATCCAGTAGTAATCGAAACTGTGGAGGAATGTTTCTTTTCCGGGGCGATGGAACGCTAGTAATAAAGAAAGAAATTCAGAAGGTACGCATCAATATCACGAGGGCACGTCATTCTAATATAAAAAACCAAATTAAAATGGGCGTGTTTAAAATGAAACAACAAGTAACGAACAGAGAGAGCTTCTAATCTTTTCGGTAAAATACATACTATTGATGTGATACAAATTGCATACCAATCAGAAAAATCATAATAGTGTTGAGAGAGTAAACAATTACAATATGAGCTTGGTATAGTTACCATTTTGTGCTTACATATTTAACTGAAATTTGGCTACGGAAAACAGCATTGGCAACACAAACACAATGTGCAACAATGTGCGCTTCGTAAATTAACAAATATAATTATTTCATCGTTTTAAGATGGAAATATACATTTTCCATACAAAATGTCATTTTTTTTTGTTTTACACTTTGTATGTTGACATGTAAGTGAGAAAATGTGTGAACGGCCAGATAGCTCAATCGCTAGAGCCGCTGTACATTATTCTGTTGGTCACAGGTTTGAGTTCTAGTCAAGCTGCAAGTTTTCTTATCCTGTGTCTGCATATAGCCCAGAGTTCAATTCACTATGTTCTGTAAACATCAGAAAGTCGAGGACAAATATCAATATAGTGGGAAATATGTTATGTAATTTTGTTGTGATTAATGCTTCCGAGGGATCACTTTGTTTCAAGATTTTTAGAACTGTTCATTATAAAAGAGATAATGCGTAGCCGGCCGGAAAACGCAGTTGGTTTTCGGACAGATATGGGTTGGAGTCATGGTCAGGCAGTTTCAGTCAGGATTTATAAGTGGTTTTTCAACGGACACATGTTTGATTAATTTAACAGATTGTATGAAATGTGAAATGGACAAAAGCAGTATTGCATGCATGATACTTTTAGATCTAAGAAAGTCATATGATACAGTTGATCACACTATACTGCACATGAAACTTCAAGCATCTGCCATAGATAATGACATTTTGACAATTGGTTAAAGTTTTATATCAGATAGACAGCAGCTAGTGGATGTGGCTGGTACTTAATCTACTACTGCTCCGAATACCTATGGTTCTGCAAGGAGTTCATTTAAGGTCCTCTTTTATGTGTAATATATGCCAATGACATGTCTGCATTCCTAAGCAATAAGCTTTTATTTTATGCTGATGACTCAGGTATCCTTGTATCTGGTCAAACAAATTTGAAGAAATTCTCTCTTTTCGCATGAGAATTTTAGTGATTGGTTAATTGACTATAAATTGTCGTTGCATCTTAAAAAGACAGAGTCTTTAATTTTAGGTTCAAGTTTCAACTTAAACAGGGTCCTAGCCTCCAGGTCACATGTAATGGTACTGATATAAAGTACACATCTTAAGTATTTAAGTGCAAGTCTTGATCAAATATTTTTTGGCGCTGCCTTTGATGTTTTGCATCAATGCTTTTCTTGTTTTGTATCCGGATAATTGTACACACGTATCACACGATATAAATGTTTCTGATAATTTCATAAATATTCAATTAAAAAATAAATATTCAATTGAGAACATTTTTCTGCTTGCGCAAACTTGTTATATTTGTGTTCTAGTCAGGGTGTCTATAGAAATAGTTTAGGAAATCTTACGAAAGGATTAATTTCAAAACATGTCATGCATCATGCATTATGAAACACTGGATGTTTTTGAATTATTATTTACAAGCAAAATATTATTCTTCAGGATTCTAGCAGAACTACACAGGAAATGCGGTCGATTTCTGTTAACCTACGATGCTTTGGTTTAGAGGCAAATACTTTTACAACTATGCTACCTAATTATTATTTATATTTCAGGAGATTTAAGGGCCCATTTAACCCCCAAACTGCTATTACATTGTTGTATTTTCATATCTCTGAAACATTTTATTTTGGTTTCCGAAAAGAAAATATTGGATAAATCGCTAAACAGTCTTTCGTTTCTGTTGCTTTCAGACTAGTAGAACTGTTTAATAAGTAAATCTGTGTTTTTGGTATCAAAGTAAAAATACTACAAACGTACTGTTTAAGTTGTGCTAAATCATTCTTCATTCCGCGGTATTAACTTACGGTGATAAACATGAAATATGTCTTTAAAGCAATAATGAAACGTTATTTAAAGGATATAAAGCTATATCTTTTGAAATATTTTCATATAATTTATCAACAGTAAAGTTATATTGGTTCCATTATAATATGGTTGATTCCTGAAAAAGTTTTAACATAGGATGTCTCTGTTATTTAACACACATGAATAATGTACATAAACAGGATAAAATGTTCCGAAACAGAATATTAAATATAAAAATGATCTAACGTACACATGACAAATGACGTACACATGACAAATGGCACAAGTCCAAGCGGGAATTTCTATATAAATTCTATATATTTTGGGTTTGAAGTGTAAATATATCTATATATGTTGAATGAAATCCAGACACCAACAGAATCACCGAATAGTTTTAAAACAAGTCTTGTGACTTGAACAAACCCCTGATGTTAAAATAATAGATATTATGGATATTGTATGATTGAAACAAGTCCAAGTCATTCATTTCGCATGTTTCTTTAACGTTTCCAGAGTTCACTGTGACAACTATTGTGAAATCATAGCTCTCTAGGTTAGGAAACCACCATTTTATTCTTTATATGGAGTCAAGTTTTGTTTCTTTGACTGTCTAGTGTATTCATTTTGTGGACATTTACAGAATAGTGAATGAAAAATTCAAAAAATAAGAGATAAAAATTTTGCCTGTGTTTCCCTTTAAAGAAAATAATAATAAAATACAAAGAAGAAAATATTTATTGTTCTAAGGTATAATGTGCCAAACAGCAGTCGTTTAATTTTAAATTATCGTCGAGATGATACAAAATAATGTATTTCAAAATAAATATAAAATCCATTCAAATTTGTATTAGTTCGTTTGATAATTTTTTCAATAAAAAATCAATGAAATCACTTTATTTGAAGATTTCAATTTAATCCTGATCAATATTTTACGTAAATTGCATATATTTATGGAATTTACCATGCTAGTAAAACATCAAAGTACATCAATATGTCTGTTTTCTTTGAGCTTCAATAATTATTTTTAAAAACAATATTTTTGTACTATAAAGTTTGATGACACGATGATTTATTTGTTTACAATAAGTTTTTACCGAGCAGCAATGAACAATTGTTCTCACTTCATTTGGATAAATAAATCCATTACAATTCCACGATCAATTGTATTTTCTCTTTGATTTCTAATACATTATGTTGTAATACAAATGATCAAAACAATCACATGATGTCGCAAAAGCAATTAAATCTATCAGTTAATGTATAAAAGCATATAGCTTTGGATACCTTTGTCATTGATTTGAAAAACCGAAAACAAGAAATACGTTAGAATTGAAGAAAAACGGCACCGTTTTACATGGTTGTGCGGTTTCCTGAAATAAAAATTCAAGTAAGTCGTTGTTTGTTTCATGACAATTTTTAATGTTTTAAGTAAAGCTTATTTTCAAATTATCATTGAAGTTGAACTAAAGTAACATTGTTAATAATTTAACATCACACATAACAGTCAACAAACCACGTTAAGGTTTACAAATATTTATAATATAATATAAGATAATGAAATATTCTAAAACAAAAAGCAAAAAAAAAATCAAAATTAAAATATCATTATCTAATATCTAAGAATTATATCAACATTTTTATGAAGAATTATTTCCTAAGAATATCATTATGATAAATTTCTATTGTTTTTATGACTATTTGAAATAATTTCGAAAATTTTGCCCATTGTAGACCAAAAAACTTTTAATTATGTTTAAGTTTATGATAAGGATGTGGACCGAAATCGTTTTACCTGCAGTCTATGGGCTAGCTCAATTCATTTTTTAATTTTATTTTTGCCATTTTGGGAGTTCTTTATGGTTTCATTTGTGTCTATGTCTTTAGTTTTTGTTTTTTTTTCTGTTTTTTAGTTTTAGAGTTATTTTTTTAATAATTTTATTTCATATTCTTTTAATAACATGTTAAGCCTTCTTGAACTGAATGCGATTTGCATGGCCAGGATACACATCCGTGCATTTTGGCTGTGTGTAGCTCATGGTTTGTACCTCCTTGAATGAACTGTAGTTGTACAAATTTAGCATAGGAGACGTTAATACATTTAAAACGGATTTAAATACTTCGTTAAATGTAATCTTTTCTGGTCACGTTAAATAACAATGAATGAGAATTTTTGAGTTGCTGAGTTTTAGTCGGTATTGTTTGGCAATTGGTTGACATGTGATGTATAGCTTGTACATGTATAATATAATTGGTTCTTTGTATGTTCTTTGCAAAACAGGAGGCAACATTTTATTATTTATTTAAAAACATTTGTTGGGTTTTCTATTTCAACGTATTGCACTATTTTGATTTAAAAAAACAAAAGTTACTTAAAAGGAATTTTAAAATAACCGTATTTTTTGTAATTTGGTAAAAGAGTTATTTCGAAATCTGTTTCAAATAAGAGATACTTTGCTTACAGGACAGTAACATGTAGAAATTCTAACATTTAAATCAAAATCATAACAATTCAATGTAACATTCAAACAATTCACATAATGCCTAAGAATTTTGCAACATTGAACTTTTATAACTACGTTTTTGTTTGTTTGTTTTTTTGTTTTTTTCAAACCGAAATTGTTTTTAAAGAGAGCGTTAAAATTGAGAAGTTTTGGCATATTGTTTATAAAGCCAAATTTAATTTACTTTTTAAAGGACACGGGGGCTAAATTTCCAGATTCATTATTGTGTTTATGTTTTTAAAGGAAGTCCATCAGAATGTTTTAAGATGCAAATTAAGATAAAAGTCCGATAAGGTTGAAATATTGTCATATACGATTTTGCATAAGATCCAAATTCTAAATAACCTTTTTATCATTTCTTCAGAATTGATTTACTTTTTTTGCAAACAAATCTTTCTTTCTATAAAATATATATTCTCAAGTTTTCTTTATTCAAAATAAAAATTTTGTTTATAGACTTCTTGAAGAGTGCAGTCTTCTCTGTTTAAAACAATCATTATTTTTTTTTTATTCTGCTATTCAACAAAGATAGCACAAGTTTTTTCTTTTCAATACAATTCTTTATGACATGCCGAACTGGTTTTGACGAGACAAAGTAAATTGGGTACCTGCAAGTTGATACATACCTGTGTTATTGTATGTAGTTTTGTCCACTTTATCACGGTATCTCTTGAAATTATATGACTACTTGATGCATTTATACCAGAATGTTTTTCTGTTATATCGACATGTCCTATAAGATATAAGTGTTACTTTCATTATAACGGCATTCCGTAAGAACAGATGTTGACAAAGCCTAATCATGTCGCGAGGAGGCAATCCTTTTTCTACTCAAGACCAGATCCGTTATATCGATATAACATAAAGGATAGTATTGCGGGGGAAAACTTCTGGTATAAAACTGGAACATTAATGCATCAAGTAGTCATATATTTTTACTAGTCATATATTGTTACGAGAAACCGTGATAAAATGGACACTGCTTAATACAATAACACAGTTATGTATCAACTTTCAGGTGGTAAATTAACGTTTGTATAGTTATTCTATCAATAGGTTAAACGAGTTTTCTATTGGACATATTGACTGGTGCACAGCTGTCTAGAAGAAACAACGATGAACCTGAGTAACACAACGATTGAAAATTTTCTTGCTGATGATGAAGGGTTCTATGCAGATGTTGATCGAGAAGCAAACACCACTAATCTGACAAGTACTGTTCTGGTATTTTATACTACTTACAATTGGGACGTGGTGTTAGCTTTTTTAGAGGGACTACGTTTTAAAGTTGGATTTTTTCTCTGGCAACGGTTAAGCATTGTATTTGCAATTATCAGTGTCATTGGAAATGGTTTTATCATTGCTGTTCTCGCGAAAGGAAACAAACACTTCTGTTCAACTTCTTTATTTATCCTGTCACTTGCCGTTGCTGATTTGTTTGTTACTGGATATTATATAGACGGGTTTCTTACTGGCAACCGTGTCATTTTGACCTCGTACAATAGCCTTGATTGTAAGTTAAGACTTTTATTGTCAGGGCTCGGTAATGATGCTTCCCCTTTGACACTTACTTTAATATCTATAGAAAGAGTATGTTGCGTTGTTGTACCGCACAAAGTCAAAAATATGTTTACAAGAAAAGTTGCGATATTTCTCATACTTGCAGTCTGGACAATATCTTTAGCAAACACTTTATTGCTTGCCTACATCAACAAATATGTGATGTTAGGGTCAGGAGAAGGTATATGTGTCATTGATACTAGAGCAACACCTGTCACGTATAGGATTAAATTTTTTACCGGTTTTTTCTTAAGGTATGGTAGTTGGTTAGTTAATATCATATGCACGGTCATAATTATACGATCTTTACTTCACAACAGCTTTGTGAGAAAGGGTAAATCTGTAAAAACACCAGTAAAATCAGTTACGTTAAGTTTGCTTACAGTTAATATCGTTTACTTCTTATTCGTGACACCTATGGTTATGTATGACGGTTACACGGTGTTGTTTGTTACCCAACGGAAGAGCATCTTTGAGATCTACAACCACTTGATTGAAAACGTTATTCTGAAATTCTTCTCTCTTCTTAACAACGTTTTAAATTTTTTCATTTATTTTCTGATCGGTGCAAAATTCAGGCAAGAGAGTAAAGAATTTTTGCTTTCTTTTAAAGTATTTAGAATGTGTCATCATAAAATAACATTAATAAAATAGATTATGAAATCAAGATAAACACGGAAGGGCCGGGTTCAATGAACATAGCCTCCACACGACCAAGCAACATAGGACAACTGGTAAGGGGCCCAGCAGGACACCAAACAAAAAAGTCGATAATTTGTGAAGCAATGTTATGCAGAATTACGCCAAATGCACTCACCTGGCTTCAGTTTGTTGTCCTGATCCTTTGTTGCTTGGTTCTAGGATTGAAGAGCTTCGCTCTGTAAACAAGAAACGTACTTCACCATTGATAGTGTTGAATTTTATGTCGTGGATTTGTTTAATTTTTTCGTTGTATGTATTATTGTATTGTATGTATTTTATAAGGGACATATGTTTTGGACACCTATTTTCTGTGCAAATTTGTTGTTTCTTTTTCAATAAATTTTTAATAATAATGTATGAACTTTAAGAAAACCATAGATAATCAGATTGTTAAGTCATAGTGGAGGACATCTCTCTCACATGAATTTTACCGTTAAGTGTGAGTTTTACCGTTAAGTGTTTACAAATGAAATAACTACATGACATTTTTGCTGATACCTTTTGTTATTTTGTTTGGAAATTATAGCATTCGAGGTGATTTGAATAGAGAGAAACGTTTTCGGAGACAACCTAAAATATGCTACTGAAATTGACACCACAGAAACAGAAAGGGAACTCTTTTCTTTGTTTGTCGTTTGTAATGATTGGGTGCGTGGACGGTTACTTTTACTTACCAGGACCGTCCTTGAACAGGCTCAATTTAACCGAGTCTGCAACATTTTCAATTATGTTCTTTTGGACGTTCTTTAGGGATTCTTTTTTTTTCCTATTTTAGTTTTGTGTTGATGTACAACAAACGCTATCATAATAATTATTTAAAATATAACAATTGGTGTTTCTAATTGTTATATTTCTAGAAGAGTAAAATATCATTTAAATAGATCGATATAACTGTGCGAACCCTACTTTATGACATTCCAGTTGTTTCGTTTGACTGGATGTTGCTTGTGACTGCGTTCAGTTTACGTTGTGTTTCGTTGTTTGTATTTGTACTCATATTATTGCAGACAATACTGCGTTCAGTTTACGTTGTGTTCCGTTGTTTGTGTTTGTACTCATATTATTGCAGACAATAATTGCATTTACACATAAAACTTTTGTCTATCAGATGCTGCGGAGGATCCTTATCAAATGGTTTCCATTACAGAGTGGTTTTCTTTCGTAATGTTCAGTGATATTTAAAAGCCATATTTAGTTTTTCTTTTTATGTAAAGTGAGAGAGGTATTTAGACCATAACATTGAACGAAAGTGTCGCTTAAATTATAGGTTGTTTAATTTGAAGAATGTTGAACACAATTATATGTACGCTTTAAATAGTGTTGTTTTCTGTGTACTCTGTGTTCTGTGTATTTGTACTCATATTATTGCAGACAATACTGCGTTCAGTTTACGTTGTGATCCGTTGTTTGTGTTTGTATTCATATTATTGCAGACAATACTGCGTTCAGTTTACGTTGTGTTCCGTTGTTTGTGTTTGTATTCATATTATTGCACACAATACTGCGTTCAGTTTACGTTGTGTTCCGTTGTTTGTATTTGTACTCATATTATTGCAGACAATACTGCGTTCAGTTTACGTTGTGTTCCGTTGTTTGTGTTTGTACTCTTATTATTGCAGACAATACTGCGTTCAGTTTACGTTGTGTTCCGTTGTTTGTATTTGTACTCTTATTATTGCAGACAATACTGCGTTCAGTTTACGTTGTGTTCCGTTGTTTGTGTTTGTACTCATATTATTGCAGACAATAATTGCATTTTCACATAAAACTTTTGTCTATCAGATGCTGCGGAGGATCCTTATCATATGGTTTCCATTACAGAGTGGTTTTCTTTTTAGTAATGTTTAGTGATATTTAAAAGCCATATTTAGACTTTCTTTTTATGTAAAGTGAGAGAGGTATTAAGACCATAACTTTGAACGAAAGTGTCGCTTAAATTATAGGTTGTTTTAATTTGAAGAATGTTGAACACAATTGTATGTACGCTTTAAATAGTGTTGTTTTCTGTGTATATATTTTATATTTTTCACAGTTATCTTTTTTAACATACTCTTTATCATATGGACATTGAATTAAAACGCTTCTGTTTGCCCAGTCTGTATGTTTACATTCATACATACATTTCTTACCACCATAATATTTGCAAACCAATGGTCTCAGAACACTTCGTGTTGGCGTACTGAAATATGATAATGGCCTCAAATCCTTTCATAATATAATTCTAAAATTAAATAAGAACATTATTTATGATTCATGTGATGTGGTGTTTATAACATTTGTTTTGACATCTTGAAACAATTGTTAGTTTTAATTTGTTTTTATTAATTACTTATTATCTTATAATCCTGTATTGAATTATTATTTCATTGTTTGTTGGTTATTTAAACAATTAAAAACAAACAAAAAAAACAAACAAAAAAAAAAACGTTGTCAGTTGTGATTAAAAACGTTCCGCTTTAACTTTATTCATTAATTTATCTTTACATTAAATGTTTGTCTGCTATTGCATATTAAAATGTTTATTCATGTTTCAAATATAAAATTAATTAAACAGCGTTTATAAATATCCAAGCGCTCTTAGAACTATTTTGATATATTTTGAATAATGGATTTAATATAAACTTATGTAAATCGTATTTGAATTTGAAAATTTTATTTCATTAGAAATCAAAGATATTCTTAAACATATTGTTTGGTTTAGATGTTTATATATGTTTTGAAGTATAGACAACAAAATAAAATCTTCAACCTAATAGAAATTGTCTTTTAATTATCCTCCTTGTTGGCGGTGCGCTATTGCTAGGTTGTGTTGATGAATGCATTCACCGAATGCCGAACTTTCTTGTTGATTTTTATTTCATATTTTCTTACATCACGTAGATAAATTATTTAATAATATAACGCAATAAAGAAATAGTCTTTTAATCATCCTCCGTGTTGGCGGTGCGCTATTACTGGGTTGTGTTGAGGGATACGTTCATTGAATGCCGACATTTCTTGTTTATCTTTATTTCATATCTTTTAAAAAGAAGAATCTTCTTACATCACGAGTATAAATTATTAAATTATAAAACGCTATAGGCTAACACTAAATTAACATTAAATAAACGCACTTTACTTTATTGTTGATATGTTTTCTGGCCATTCGGAATAATTGATTCCAAAACGTTACATTGTTGAAAATCAAGTAGCGCTCGCCGATGCTAGGGGGCGTGAGGGATATTGCAAGTTTTCATTAGACTCAATGAAACCGAGTTTGCAATTTTTATGTCATTTTTGTGTCGCCTCTACGGAGAAGTGGCGACATATAGGGATCACTTCTCTGTCGTCTGTCTGTCTGTCCGTCCGTGACAAAACTTGTCCGGACTACTCCTCATAAACTACTGGTGCAATTTCATCCAAACTTTACAGGAATTATCAGTACCAAGTCTAGTTGTGCATATTGTCAGAGTTATGGCCCTTTAATATTTTTTTTTTTAAAGTTTGTCCGAACTACTCTTCTTATACCACTAATGCAATTTCGATGAAACTTTACAGGATTAATATGTAGCTCAAGTCCTTGCGCATATTACACGGGTTTTCCGGTTGAATGATTTTGGCCGAGTTATGGCCCTTTGATAAAAAGGTGTTTTTTTCTGTGTGTTGCCAGATACACAAAAGATTGTCCGGACTACTCCTCATAAACTACTGGTGCAATTTCATCCAAACATTACAGGACTGATCAGTACCAAGTCTAGTTGTGCACTGTCCGTCTGTCTGTCCGTCTGTCACAAAAATTGTCCCAACATGAAAGTGGCCATCATAAGGCGACACATGTGATCACTGATCGCTCTTGTGTTGTGATAATGCTTCCGAGGGATAACTTTTTTCCAGATATTTTCTCTGGATTGTCAACGATGTGAACAATGTTTCTATGTCAACTATGTGACAAAAATTCCTATGGCAACAATGTGATCTTTTCTGGATTTGTCAACGATGTGACCAGTGTCCCTATGTCAAATTTAAGATGGAACCAATACCCTTTGTCAATGTTGTGACTATATGTACACATATCTTGAAAGGGTATAAAGCTATATCTGATGAAAAATTTTGTAAAGATTTAAAAGCGGTAAATACATATTGTTTTCATATCCTAACGGTAATATCTCGAAAAAGTTGTTACATAGAATGCCCCTGTTATTTAACATACATGAATATTGTACGTAAATCAGAATAAAATGTTCCGGAACAAAATATTCACCTACTATTTTAGTTGGTTTAGCGATTATATAACACATGTTCCACTCGCTTTCATTAATATATATGGACCTATTTCTTTTGTTTTATGTTTTTTGTAGCTATTTTTTATTATAATATAAACATTTTTTTGTTGACATCCACATCCAAAAACACCAAAGATATAGCTTTATACACTTTAATTGGATTGTTTGTTTCCAAATTTGAACTTTCACAACTTTCCTTCTATGTTCCTATGTCAAAGATGGAACCAATTCCCTTTGTCAACGTTGTGACTATTTCTACAAATACCTTTAATAGGATTTTTTTTCTCCAAAGAACTTTCACACATTTCTTTCTATGATCATTAGTGTCTCAAAACATTCTTGGAAACCCAACATTCCATTCTAACACATACAGTACATATTCTCATATTCTCATTCTCACAGGCAAGCACAATGAACAGTACTGTAGTATAATTAACCCATTGTTCTTTTCAATTATATCAGATCATAACTAAATAATTTCTTATTCATCTTAAATGCCCTCAAGTTTTCTGATCACTTATTATTAATGTTTGATGTTCAGGTTTGTTTGATCAGCACTTATACATCACGTTGTCTCCTCATAATTGGTGACATTATTGCTAAGACAAAAGTATGTACTTTTCCTTATCCCCATAAATGTAAGAAATATATTGCTTATATATTTAATATGATTAACAATATCCATTTTTCGCAAATACATCAAACACTGCTCTTTAATTACAAAGAGTCATTAAATAGTGACAACATATTTAAACACTTCAAAATAGAGAAAATAAGAATGATTTATTTTATCTTCATCATTAATATCGTCTTTTTAATTGTCTTTGAGATGATGTTGATAAACATTACAGTGTCCAAAAATCTGGGAACAAAATGATCCCTCGGAAGCATTAATCACAACAAAATAACAAGAGAATTGCAGACTCGGTTTAATTGAGTATGTACAAGAGAGATAATGAATATATGCAACATCCCTCACTCCCCCTGAAATAATGTTTAATCAACATTACGATATGTTGCTGCTTCTCAAAATAGCGATAAATAAAAAATCCATAAAGAAAAACAACAAAGTTGAAAATGAATCAAGCTCGGATTGATTGAGTCTATTCATGGACGGTATTGGAAAGTGCAAATTACCTACCAAGATTAAGTAGAATTCAATATTTAACCTGAACTGGTAAGATTTTGAGTTTCAATCAATCCACAGAATAAGTTTGTACAACGGTAATCATGGATGGATAATGAAAAAGTACAACATAACTCGGCCTTTTAGCACCGGCTTACACTCCTCAATTTTGAATACTAAATAGTGCTGGAATCAATGATCCCGAAAGACCAGAAAATATAACTACACTGAGTTGAAGTACGCTGCTTATCACATATACACTGTCGAAAGGCAAAATTAAATTGCAGGCAACATATTCTAAGGGTGATTATACAGCATTCTAGCGAGGAATAATGACAAAAAATGGAAATTAAAGTAAAGAAAACAACAAAACAAAAATAAATATTGTGCAGTCTGATCGGAAAACGAACCTAGGACCCTCGGAATACCATACCGCGGCTCTACCGACTGAGCTATGCGGCCTCTTAGATACATTTTCGCCCCTAAATAGTAAATTTCATAAGCTTGAGATACTGTCCTAGCTACTATATTGAAAATTCATCCTCAAATTTCACAGGTTACAAAGCAATGTAAATTTAACTCGGAGCTATTTTCAGTCACAGCCCCAAGTTGGACTCCAAATGTCACAGTGTGAGAAGAATGTGCAGCCTGACCGGGACTCGAACACGGGACCCTCATACTAGGTCCGTACCACAGCTCTTACCTGCTGAGCTGGTCAAGGGGCTTTCACATCTTCTCCCCTGAACCGCAACACATAAATATAATATTACATCCAGGCCTTGCCGTTTTTGAAAAAAGTTAATAAAAGGTAAAGGGGAAAGTTCTTGTTTATTATAATGTCACCACTACTGAAAGGGCCAAGCCATTTCTGACTTAATAGGGGCAACTAATCGTGCTTGCATTTAAACCATGTAAATTACTCCTTTAAACCTTCAATCTCTTTAACTTATGCATAACCTAGTTGTATGTATCTAACTATTTATTATCAGGAACTGCGTGTTTTCATTGTACCGAACAGTTATCATTTGTAACTAATTCATATGCCAGGCTAATTATTACAGAACATGATTTACATGTCATATAACAACAATAATAATTTTATACCAATTGAATTATTACAAAATAGATAAATTACAACATATGAATTACAACACGCAAATTGAAATGTTTTACAGGCTCGGTTTTGATTGAGCTGTAAAAATGACTAACTTAATCAGTGAATTACGTGCACAGTCAAACGCTAGCTATTAAAAAAAAAGCCGGCATTTAAGATCATTCCTCAATTATTTGTAAAGGGTGAAAATTGCAGCTACGATAAAGGCATTTTAACAGTCTTAGAACTGCATAGCAGTCAATCACCCTCAATTTCAAGGGTGATCGAGCTATGTGAAGCTTTTCAATTGGCACACATACCAGAATTACTTTAAACCAGGTGGAAATGACAGACGTTTGCCGGGCCGACTACAGCATTCGGTTCCTTTTCCTCTAAACAGTGACAGTTAAATAACTTCCATCTATAACCAAAAACAATGTGTTGAATTTAAATTAAAAATGTCGTTATCATAATTAAATGCAAATTAAGTAAATGGAAAACTTATTCAAGGGAGGTGATCTGTTGTTGAGTTGTACATCTTGATTTTGTGATCCAAGGATCATGAAATACTAAGATCCCATCTTCACCATGATAAAATTTTCATGCTATCTCACTCTTACACTTAATCTAGATCTTTTCTCTCAAAATAATTATTTAAGTGCCAAATAATGTGTTTTACTCTATTATCATATACCAAAATACTGTTATAAATGGACTATATATCTAACTAACAAAACTCAGATTTTTAACAAATCAAAGTCATTATAATTAATAATGTCTTATGAGGAAACATAATTACACTAGAATTAAAAAATCATTTTAAACAGTTCTCTCTTAATATATTATGCTGATGTTTTTG